TGAGGCGACAAGGCTACAAAGATTAATTCCGAATTGAAATTTCTATCCAGATATATCTATTATTATTACTATTGCATTTGATGATAAATAGTGTACTATCTTTTTTCTTTAACTTCACCAACTAACCGCATTAAAGGTGAAACATAATAAAGTTCTTTTACTATTTTACCTTTTTGATATGTAACTTAAAAAACAAGAACTGCAATTTTTTCTACTGATAAAATTATATTCGTTTTTTTTTTAAAGCAAGTCATTTTAAGAAGTTTACTAAGAAGTCGACGACTCTTTCGTTTCCGCCGAATTATAGTGATATATTCATGAACAAAATAATTTATCTATAGTTACAAATCGATGTAGAAAATTTTCTAGATAACATTGAAATATTTGCAAACATTAACTGATTGGTTAAGTTTTTGATCCACTGTAAGCAAACGATGCATTCCATCTTCTTGTCGATTTTTTCATAACTGCATTCCCGTAGATAAGGCGATAAATGAATATGTAATTTTGTGGATAATTACAATAGCCGCCACAGCACTAAATTCATTTTAAACATATATATATAAACAGATTTATAAACTATAATAAATAAAAAGTAACGTAGAGTAGCAAAAGGAAATGACTCCCAAATACGGTTGAAAAAACGGTGTATCTTTAGACTTGAAGCGCGTGCTTTGTTTGAAAAACTGCTTAAATGCAAAAGATACACATATTAAAAAATTTATGAATACAAACTCGAAAGGTTATCAGCTACGACAGCTGTATAGACACTCTACAAATAAAATTGCTGTATTACGAACTATAAAAATGTATGCAGATATTTTAATGATTATAAAATAATTTTTTTTTATATAAAACAAATTTTTTATTTTATTTATTAATAACAGTTCTAAAATAAAGATATAGAATTTTCAGAAAGATTTTTGTCAACAATAAAGTAATTCAAAATTTTTTTCAATTATGCTGATACAACACAGGTTACACATTAAAATAATTTTTAGAATTCGAATAGTTAAATATAAAATAACCGAATTTTATTTTTTAAAACAATAATAACAGTGCAACAAAAATATAAAAAAAACACTTTCTGCTTTTTGATTTTTTAACAATTTTTAGTCTACTTAGCAACCTCATTTTCCTGTAAAGATTTAGGTCTCTAACAATAATGGATTAAAGTTCAAAAATTGGGGCTTTGAAAGGTTAGTGATATATTTTTATTTGCAGAGATATGATTTTCATGTTTTCAGTAAACACGCTGACAACACATGAAAAGTTCTCTAACTCATAATTAACTAATGTTTTCATACATACAGGACAGGAATAAAAACGGTTTTCAATAGTCTCCACCTTCTCCTACTTTCAGTTGTTTAAATTAAAATGGAGAATAAATTTAGCTATCCGATCGCAACTTACACATACTATGTTTGTGAGCATATTTCGAATTAACAGATTAGAATAGAATCAATACAACCTTAACAATATGTATTGTTAATGAAAATATATTATTGTTGGTATGTTTGATGCCAAGAGAATTAATTATTAAAATTCATGTTTTAATAGTAAATTAAATAATAAACGAAAATCAAACTATGGTAGCAACTTACTGCATTTACTCAGATAAAGAAATTAAAGTGCAAAAATTACCTTCAATAATATTGAAAATAATGCATATACAAAACATAAATTGCTGCATCAGAAAACCAAAGAAGAAAATAAGTAGGAAAATAAAAGTGCCGTTTCAATTGAAACAAGCAAATATATATCTTCATAAGTTAATGTTTTTAGCATATAATGTTGTTTGCATTTCACTGTAGTCAATTTCTGTATATAAATAGACAATAAATAAATAAACAAGTATTTATATAATACTTAAAATCCAGTACTCTCATTGAGATGCTCCATAATGATATCAGTCTTGTGGTAGAGAACAATGAAAGTACCTAAAATCTGCTCAGCATATGCGCAGATGATCTTGACCAATTACAGATCTCTACAGCAATCTTTTTCCAAAGATCAAAGGAGGTTTTTAAACCTCTAAGTTTCTAATGCAGCAACATAATGGGCAAATAGGCTTAAGTGGATTCTTAGACTCACAGTATACCCAACCTAACCTAACTTAACCTATATAATATTCAGAAATAAATACTCGTAATTATAGCACATAAAATACTTATGCCTTTATAATTACAAAACTCAAACCCGTTACAATATGATAACTTAGATATAAATACATATATTTAATTTACAACTCAAAATGAAAACAGAATTGAAACAACCGTTTTGAAGTGTAGCGCAACTGTGGAAATAAGGCAATTCACTGTTCCTGTATTATTGTCACACGTTCGGTGTTTGCGCTTGCCTTCACGTATGAGTCACCCACTTAAAAACTTTGCATGTATCACAATTTATACAGAAAAAAACAAAAAAAACAATAATGCTAGTAATAGCGACAATAGAGGCAAAAGCAAGGAACTTGGGGACGCCAGCAAAAAACATTTGTAAGCCAAGTGTGACTGCATTTTTCTTTATGGTTTACGAGTGACTTTATGTGTAATTTTTGCTTTTAGATTAGAATTGTAACTTTATTAAATTATTTTTTATTTTTTTTTTTAGTTTTAATATAATACGCTTCATGTAAAAACTAGATTTAGTCACTTGATTCATCTTGGTCCAGATTAATCATACAGCAATAATGCCATTGCGATTCCGTCTTTGTTTGAAAAAATCTTAAAAGTCGTTCATAAATTATTTTTTAATATTTTTTGCTTTATTCTTCGGTATAAATTTTTTCATATTTTTAATTCGCAATTTTTATTATGAAATAGTTTATTATACAACATAAAAATTCTATTTAATATGATTATAAGCATGTTTTCTTTAGTTGGCAACTGAGATTAATTTTAGATTTTAATGATCTTGCAGTTTCGGAATTAAAAGGAAATTTTGTTTATTATCAGTTTAATTAAATTTTTAGTATTGATCATTAAAAACTCACACACACATATATAACAAAATTTTTATAACCCAACTCCAATAGACTATAATTTTACAGTGTCATTTCACAATTTTAAAGGATTGTCAGAAAAGATATGTATAATCACTTTTTAATAATTATAAACAGAAGAAACTTTCTTAATAAAATAAATATTACCATAACTTTTATAATTGCAATATGTAAAAAAAAACTCTATAAGTTATTTCTTAACAAACATCTTTTAAGTTGTTAGGGTTAAGTCCGCTTTTAACCGTTAGTTGATTACGTTCCTTACATGCGCGATGTCATTATATATTCTTTTTAAAAATATCATAATTTTTATTATACTTTAAAGGGTGAACTGGCGAATTAACACGCATAGACGCATATTGGGCTGACTATGCGTGTTAGGTTTTTATATCCGGGCAGTATCAATCAAAACCATGTAAAGCAAATGCTTGAAGTTTGTATGTAAAAATGATAAATCTAAATCGATTTATATGTGAACCACAGAATATGGCATTAGTATTTATCGATCATTTTAAAATTATACATTAAATCCATTTTTTTGTTTTATATTGAACGATTTACACAAATATCAGCGAGTTTTTGATACATTTTTAAGAAACAATTTCTTTTATTAAAAATCAATTTGAGTCTAATATACATTCACCATAAATGAACTCCTGTCATTTTTCGGGTAATTTCACAGTTCCATTGCTGTAAAACTTCTGTGGTTTATTAGTAAAAAAAAGTGATTTTTAGCGGCTCTTTGGTCAACCGATTTTTTTTCATAACGATTGTTTTGCAGGAACCACAACAAATGGTAGTGAGACGGTGAGCTATACCCTGGATGCATCAAAATTTTCCAACCAAGCTCCTTTCCAACAATTCCTTTTCTATTGGCTAATCCTGATCAATTTTCCTGAACTGCATTGTTCAAGCGGTCGAGTTCTGAGCAGTAAATACGTAAATTAAATGTTTCATGATACTAAAGTAGCTGGTAATAGACAATTTCCTTCCAATTCCACCAATCTCACCAAACGTTCAACATATTTTTCTGCCGTCAACATACACTTTAAAGTCAGTCGTGTAAGGACGATGATCTTTGATCATGCGCGTTAGAGTTAGATATTCTCGTATTAAATCTATTTTTCAAACCCCATAACGATTGGCTGCAAAAATGGTTACATTTCGTTGAATTTTAGCAGTGTTTTAGTAATAGTAATTCAGTCAATCCAATTTTTTAGCGTTAGATCATACGTTACCCAAACATCGAGCGTTAGTGCGTCGCCTGCTCCAAACTAAGTGATTCCAAGTAATCATATTTATATTGTTCAGTTTTTCTGTTATCTCCTGACAGCTTGCGTGTCGGTCTTAATCCCCTAGTAGCAAGATTTCATCGGCTTTTTAGTAACTGGTCCACCGCAACGAAATGCACCTTTGATATCCAAATTTCCGGACAACGCCAGGACTACTACTGACTCCAGCGTTCACTTGCAGCATCCTCACCATTAACTGCACACATACTTCGACATGTTTTTTATTTTTTTAAATATTTCACTCATTTTCAAATCAATATAACTTTTCACACGAGCACCAAATTACAGAACCATGTTCACAGTAATATGTATACTAAAAAATTATAAGGAGAGTAGACTTCTCCTTAAAGAACACCTTAAACGTTTTTAAAGGTTTAAAATCAAACTTCTTACGCCAACATCATGAACCAATAGGTCTAAATTGATGCTTATGATCATTGTAATATAACTTAATTTTTACTACATATTAAAAATTTGATTCTTTCATCTAATTATAACTATATAGTTTCAGTTATAAACTTTGAAGTTTAATTTTATATCAATAAATTATAAAATTTAAAAGACCAAACATTGTTCTAAAGTGTGTTTGAATCAAGTTCGATCATTTAATCATTATTCTATTTAGATATTATTATATTGAATTGATTTATAGGAAAATATATATTCTTTTTAAAATATAAAATAAATATTAATGGAAGACTTACCATTTAACATATTCGGTCCATCAAATTCATCCTGATCTAATTCCTGCGCCAAATCGCCCAAATCAATACCACCGACAGCCATCATGGCACCTAAACCACTTATACCACCTAAAGCAGCTAAATTACCGTCATCAGATCCACCCGTTGGTGAGCCAAGTTTATCCTTCTGTATGACGACATCCACATTACCTAAGCGCATTAAATCTGCCATTATTTATTGTTTTGTTATTGTTGTTGTAGTAGGGATGATTATTATTGTTGTTGTTGGGATAGGTATAATAGTGGTTAAGCCAAAAAAAATATTGACGATCGAATAAAAACAAAAATTATTTTATATGAAAATTTATTTTTATTCTTTTATCAAAATATATTAACCCAAAATGTGGGCTCGGCAGCATAAAGCTTTTTAGCACGCGTCAGCAGTAATTTATGTGCTCTTTTGAAAAATGGCCACAAGCTATGACAGTGACGACGAACGATGACGATTATGCGGTTAGCACGGCGGCATATGACGATTTTATCACTGATGATAATTACAATTGTAATGATAATAAAAATGATTATAGTACTGATGGTACTGTGCTGATGGTGGTGAAGATAAGCGAACGTTTTGATTAGTGCGTTGAGTATGATTGAACTAAGCGATGAATGAAAGAGCACTAAGCAAAATAAGAATTTGTTTAACTGCAAAAGATAAAAGTAAACAAAAATATTGATAAATACGATGAATGAACAATACATTGAATATATACAATTGTTTATTTATATATACAACTGAATATACAGATATTTATATACAAAGTTATTTGCTTCAAAAATATATATAATTAATTTGAAGTATGCAAGAGCATGAAATATCATGTATAACAAATGTTAAAAGGTGGAAGATAAGAACTATTGAAAATTAAATAAATCAAAAAATAAGCAAAAATGTTAGCTATGGCTTTGCCGAAGTTTAGATACACTTTCCTTTACATAAAATTTTGAATCTGCATTGCAGTCTCATATATGAGATTCATATATGAGTAAAATATATAAGTCATATACATAATATAATATATATTACGTGCTGCTTTATCTCGATGCGACAAGTTGTTTCAATAGTCTTTTCGATCTTTAATCCTATATCTTAATCGATATATAAAATATATAAAATATATGAAATATATATAAAATATATGAAATATATATAAAAATATGAAATATATAGTAAATTTTGTACCAAATTTCATTTAAATATTTTTATTAAAAACGGTGTAAACTCATATTCAATAGTTCATTGTTTAAAGCAACTCAATGGAAACAAACTTAGAAACAAAAAGTCTTGAATACTTATACTAAGATGACTCAAGATCCAAGAATACAAGATGACTATATGTATATAAATAATATAAATATAATATAAATACAAAGTAGCAGCAGCTCTAAAATAAAGTTAACAAAGATAAGCTAATTATTGAATGTCAAGATCAATTTACAATTATAGTTATTTATGAGATTTCCCTTAATAAATTTAAAATGCAGACATATTACTAGATTTTAAACAAATCTAAATCGATAAAAATAATTTTTTTTTCTTTTATCTATAGAAGTATATTCTGTATTTTATTTGAAAATGTATATTAGAAACGGAAAGAATCATATTTAATTTTTTTTATGGGTGGTCCGATTTTAGACAAACCGACAAATTATCAGAGTTCGCACTCGAAAGTATGTCTGCAAAATTTCAGAGGAATAGACGGACAAGGCTAAAACAAAGCTGATCAAAAATATATATATTTTTATTAAATTTAAACAAAAATCTTGACCAACTTAATGTATCCTTTTTAGAATTTTTTGTGTAATGGGTATAAAAATAATTGATGATATTTACATAAAATAATATATGTTAATATTTTTATAAAATAATTTATAAGTTTATATAGTTTACTTCTTAGAAAAAGACGGATTTTATATATTACACATTATTTACTGAATTTATTAATTTATACAAAAATAACAGAATAACCCTAAATAATAAAAGGGAATTGAAAATAAAAAATTAAAACGTAACAGCTAAACTCACTGAAAACATGCGATTAAAATGAGAAAAATTTCCATAATATATATTCATATATATATTATGAATATAATAATATTTAAATATATTCAAACATTTTTGTTGTGAATAATATTTTTTTATAATTTCAAAATAGAACAGTAAACCCTAATACATATTTATCATATATATATATATATATATATATCAAACGCAATGCAATTTATACCTACTGAAAATCGTTCCTTATTGATTTGAAGAAAGTGTTTTTGAACTTGAATAGGAACTTCATCTGGACAAGACTACGAATTAGCTGACTAACATAAAAACTCCTGGCAATTTACAAACATTTCAACGGAATACTATCGGTGACGTTTGATGTAAAAACAGAAGTGAAACAAGGTTTCCTTGTTTTTCCAAGACCCTATGTACTAGTACTGAACGATGATCTAATAATATTTAAGTTAATTTATAGTACTTTTGTCATTTAAAAACTTTGGAGTACTTAGCTGACCTGTGACTACTTAGTCACAGTTATAGTGTTCTTCAACATAGTGCAGATGTCTGCAGATCTTTATCGTTTATCTTTATCGTATGTGTATAGCTAATTCAAAAGTACACAAAAACCGTGATCAAACCTGCTATATTCTAGGCAACATCGAAAAATGCCAAACTGATTAAGAAACGAATACAAATCTCAGTTTATAAATCTAAGGTGCATTTTTAACGCTAAATTTCAGAGCCCTACAAGTGTTAAAAACGTAGAATATGAAGTTAAGCTATGCAGTTACAGCTTTCAAGTTCTAAAACAATGATGCACGTAAATTTGACCTAAAAATTACTACATCAACACAAATTTTTTAACAAGTCTATATTAATATTATAATAATTGGAAATTAATAAAGGAAAATGTTCCTATAGGCATCTCAATAAAGCCAAATGAAAAAACTTTCAATGAAGAATTGTTTAAAAAATACTTTGGGTAAAAAAGTATACATTTGTAAGTATAGTATTGAAAGATACCTTATGCAAATAAAAATAAATCATCAATAAAATTAAAAATACAGAGAAATCTATTTATTATATATAGCGGCCATATTTTCCAGTTTTTGCAAACTATTATAGAAAGGAACACATTTGCAGCAATGTACAGAAATTTTTAAAATATATTATATAAATAAAAAAATTATTTGGACAATAACTCACGTATAAAGTGAAATTTATGCTCAAATAATATGGAAATTTATGCTATTCGTAATATATATAGGTAAAAATTTTCGTCAAATACTAGTGTTTTTCATATTAGGAATCTAGCATGTTGAAACGTCAATGTACTGCTGAAACATTTAAGGCTGTAAACAACAGAGTGCATAAAAATTGAGCATAACCAATAAGATATTGTTCTCAAAGACTTCAACTTTCTTATGACACCATATTCTTCTTAGACATAACTTCATTGATTTTTATTTCAAGACAAACAAAATTCGGTTTATCTAAAAGCTCGAACTAAATAACCATGTACTACTTAAAAAAGTTTACAGATTAATCAACTCGATACAGATCAATTACTTCATGGAAAACATCATCTTTATCCATGAAGTTCATTCATATTTTCGTGAACAATATATAGCAATATATGTATCTTCGCATTTGAAATGAAGAAAACCCACATGCTGGCTACGAAACACGTTTAAACCCCCACAAAAATTAACAGTTTGTTGTAGTTTATGGCATAGAGTTTTTTTATATAAAAATGACATTGCAGTTACCATCAATAGAAAACGATATAGAAACTTGATTACTGATTTTTTGTGGCATATTTTATATCATCTCAACTTGAACGATATATGCTTTTTATAAGAAAGGACAATCAATTTACTAAGAGAGAAGTTCGATGACCGTGCGATTTCGAGAAGTGCCAGTGTGAACTGACTACCAAGATTATTTACTCCAAAAAACCACAAACACTTAACGATCTTTTAATCAAAATTATTCGTATTATTGATAAAATAAATACAGAGTTATATGAAATAGTGGCAAAAAATTTGTAGTCATTCACATGAAATCATTTTTTAATTGAAATTTAGATAAATTTATATCTAAAAAATATAAATTTCAAATTTAATATATATAGTTTCTATTTTATCACAAATTTAACTATTAAAAAACCAATAAAAGATAATGAGATCTGTTGAAAAGTTTATAACTATAGTAGAGATATTTCATTTTACTATTTTTTATTATTTGAAGAAAAATAAAACAAAAGACTAAATATTTAAACAATTATATTAATTGGTTACCCACGTAGTTGGTAACCAACGTAGTTGGACACATTAATTCAAAAATTTCTTTGGCTATATTTACCAGAAAATTAGGCTTTCCAAGATCTAGCGGTATTAAAATCGGTTTGTATCGACTTATATTGTTTTGAGAAAAGTTTTTTAACATTCTAAAATCAAATATAATGATTTTTTAAATCAATAATATGATAAATATTGGCGTTTGAACATATATATAGCATATAGAAAAAAGATGCTTTATTTAAATCTATTGTTAAATCGGGTCGCTACAGAACTCGAAATCAATTTTTCAAACATATATCGACGTCTCATAATAAATAAATTATTTAATTTCGAAATTTCATTAAAGCAAAAAATATTTAAAAATTATTTAGCTTCGCGCAAATGGACTAGTTTTCTACTTTATTGAGTTTTCTAGTATTTTATTAAACATCCAAGAAATATCGTTCTTTTTGAAGATGTTGGATAGGTCTAACAATAGTACGTTTCTGTTTTGCATCCAAACACAGTCCTGTTATACTATATTCTAACATGATTCAGTTAATATTATACAAAATATGGACACTAAAATATGGAGTACCCAAATTTTAGTACTTTGAAATTGATTTCAATGCAATTGGGCCACTATATGTACTAATATAAATGCTATAAGTCTACCTTTGCTACGCCCATATTTCCAGGTTTAGATAAACCTAAACATCTAGATAAACCTCTCTACCAAATCTCTCCCGCTTAATTATTGGAATGAAGTTTTCGCATTGCGATGAAAATCCTCTCGATACATTCCTAAGAGGTGGTTTTAGTGGGTTAAAGTCTCACTTAAAAAAGCTGCCAGTAACTATGTATTTAGTTATTTTATACGATGAAGAAGTAGTAACAGATCTTTTTTCATCAACGAAGTTATGACTTTTCCTGCATATGCAAAAACTAATTGTAAATTTTGAGTATTGTTTGGTAATATATGTTTAATAAAGACATATATTGTCATATTATTTTTGAATTATATTTTATGAAACAGACAATCATTTATATTAAACATCAAATAATTTATGTACTATAATATTTTATAAAAATATTTAAAAAAATTAATTTTCTAATTATAATAATTATAAAGTTATTAAGTTATTAAGTTCGTATAAAAAATTCAATTTAAATCAAGTTTTCATATATTTCCCACGCATTTTGGAAGGCATTAAATGGGTCAAAATGTCTGCAATGTTAGATTTTCTGTCCAAAAACAACTTTTAAAATAAATGTATATTAAAAAATGTAATAACTAAACCTTATAGGCGATATTAATTAACTAATATATAAAAATTGAGTTTATTTTTTTTATTTTGAGATTAAAGAAAAAGTTAGATTTATTTATTGAGCTTCACATGCTATTATATTTACACATTTATATTTAAATTTTATAGTTTTTATTTGGGAATGTAAGTAAAGCTATTGAAAATCGAGTATAATGAACATTTTTTAGTACACAATATAAAACTATTGTTTGGAATCCAACCAGATAATCTGCTTTTTGAAATCTTGTTGGAATGGCTCAAATACATTTTATAATTTGAAAAGTCGATTATCTGCTGGTAATAGACCGATCTACAGTAATAAAATAATAATAATTAAATATTAATAATAATAAGGTAATAATAATTAAATATTAATAATAATAAGGTAATAATAATAAAATAAAAATAATAAAATAATAATAATAAAATAATAATAATAAAATAATAATAATAAAATAATAATAATAAAATAATAATGCAATAATAGTGTAATATAGATAATAGAATAAAGATATTATAATGCTAAATCGTGATCCTAATGATGACTCTCAAGGAGAGTCGAAATATAGAATATAATAAAAAATATTAAACAAACGTTGAATTATTTAAAAAAAAGTGACATATAGCCGGCTATAAAAAAATATAAATAAAAACAGGTCAATAAATAAATTTAAAATTTTATAAAATAGTAATAATAAAATCATTTCCTCTTATTTGAAGGGTCGTTAGGTAAGTAGTATTCACAGTAAGCGTAAGTTTAAAATTATATTACTAAGATAATATTGTACTTTACAGCCGTAAGTCTTAAAAAAATTTAAATTTCAAAATAACATGATTTGATATAACTGATTTTCTTAGACAAAGTATTTTCATTATATACAAAGACAAATTGAAAAAATCATTATGTGTATATAAATCATATTTTTCAACTTAAATAAAATTTTATTAAAAATTGTTTATTATATGAAATAAATAATTTTAAATAAGAACTAATTATAATTTCAGCATTTTTAAGTGAAATTGAGGTATTTGTTAATTTTATAGCATAATCTATTAATTTAAGTATTCGCTTTATATACAAAAAACTAATTTTTGGGGAAAACTTTTGAAAATATTATATTTATTCAATTATATATAACATATAGTTCTTAGTTCTATATAACATATATAAGTTGTCTGTAGGATAAAAAATTCTTTATTATGAATTTCACTTTCATTGTACGTAATTCTCAATACAAGATGTGTTTGCTTTGTCCAAAAAATAATTAAACCACGTTGGTTTTAGAAAAATTTTTATATCACATATGGATTTAATTAAAAGTGTTTTAAAAACATTTTCGTAATATAATAAAATCATAAAAGCGATATTAAAAATAAATTGTCAAATAAAAAGACAATTCGCTTGATGTCAATACTCGAAATGAATTTCGTTTAAATTACTTTTTTTTTTGTATAAGTGACATAACTCTGATTAAAATTTAATATAAAAAAATTTAAACTAAACATATTAACTAATTTAAGTGAATAGTTGGGTAGGGCGGGGTGGGGTGGTGTTCGATTTAAACTACCGTATTACTTTTCATAATTTCGCTATATTTTCATTCATTAATTGAAATAATTTTTGTAAACAATTTTTATTTCCCTTAAAGTCATATCACATCTGCGCCAGCGTAGAAAACCTAAAAATACCGGACATGAATGGGCACGACCAAATACAAAAAAAAAAGAAGAAAATTGAAGCAAGAAGCACTTGGCGAGGAAACGCAATTTTTTCTTAATGCTTTCCAAATGAGACGCATAAACTCACACTTACCGCACAATTGCACGAAGATTTGTATGCTTTTCTTTTTAAATCAAATTTATTTTCACTTTAAACAATAATTATAAACACAAAATATAATAATTTACACGGCTTTTGTCTGGTGAAGACAAATGACGAGACAAAAGCAAATCTTCACAGCACTACGCCTCCCCGACTTAATTAGCACACAGTCTCAATTAATGCAAAAACTCTATTTCCTTTCTATTTAATTCACATTTTGATTTTTTTTAAAAGAACCGGTAATTACAAATAAAGAAAATTAATCAAAACTATTAATAACACAATACTTTTTATTAAAATCACTTTGTAACAAAATCTTTGACCGTCCGACGTAGTTGACAAATCTTTCACTTACTATTACACCAACAAAGCACAATAAACCACCAAAGAATATCAGAGTGGCAATAATGTGTTAACTACATGGTTGCATTTAATGAAATTTTCAAAATTTAGTAGTAAATGTGGGTGCAGTTATGCCAGTAAATATTTAGGGTTATTGTTTTAAAATAATATATATTGTAATCAGTTTAAAGTTAAATATTTTATATAAATAATTTAAATTTAATGCATATAAAATGTAAAGAAATAATGTAAAAGTGAAATAAAAAATAATACAAATAACAATCAACTTTGACCATGGTAGTAGGTATATTATAAATTTGTATGTATATTAGTTTGTATTGCAAATATATTAATTTTATTTACAATCAATATAGTGTAATACATTTTTCAAGATCATATTAATTTATTAGTCTTCAGGCTATCATTGTTTTTATTGTTAGTTAGCTCCATCAGTTTATACACTTGGTTATGTTTTGTTTATATCCGAAATATCGCTTTTGATCAGTTTTATGTGAACTAAATACTAATTATAATAATTACAGATAAGTTATTTAATTACAATAGTATCTAACATTTTATCTATTTGCATACAATTTGTATAGTATTTCCGATATATCGCTTTTAATTTCTTATGTAAAATTAATACTGATTTTTATTATTACAAATAAGTGTTTTAATTACAATTGTATCTAACTATTTATTTAATTTTTTGTGTACAAATTTTTAACAACCATACAAAACTTGTTTATACACAATTAGTAGGTAGTACAATACTAAATCGGAGTATGACTTTGCTAATTGTGTTGATATCCATCGACGACTAATGAGTAAAATCGAAGCTAATATAAAATACATATATATTATTTTATAAATATTATCAATCATGAAAGGATCATTATATTGAAACGATATTTTTAGCTAAACCGAACTATTAATGGTATTAGTTACATTATTTTATAAATATTAAAACAAAGATATATTATCTTCAATGTTATAGGCAGAATACGTAAATCGAACTTATCAAATGTATTAAAACTACCATCATAATTAAATTAAAAAAGAAATTTAACATTTAATTATAGTTACAAGTACTATAGATTGAGTTCCTATATAATACCTTTCTAGTATAGAATAAAATTACAAATCCATTAAAACATTTAATTTGAACAAATACTATTAACAAAAATTACAAATATCACTAAAAGTATAGAAATGATTGATTTTCAGAGTTTAAAGAACTTTTCCTTACTAGCCCATAATTGAATGGGCTGGTAAGTGTTTTTAAATTGTGTTTTATTTTGAAGCATATATTTTTAAATCATATATTCTTAAACTCATTATTATATATATTGCACATTGTAACTGATTGTTACATAGTTCTGATTGTAACTAGGAGAAGTTATTAACGAATTACCGCATCAAAACCAAATTGCTGTTACGGTTATTCATCTGATCCTAAGTTAATCCAAAATTATGTACGTTTTCCTATGCGATTTTCAAACATCATTTCTAGTTTATTTTAATATCAATATCCAAAGAACCAACTATAAAACTCAAGATTTAATTTACAGTAACGAAATATTAAAACAAAACTGAAGGTTAATAGTGCCTTTTATATAAAAACCATAACTTAATTTGAGATATGAATTCAAAGATTACACACAGATGAATGGGTTAAATGGGTTGACTAAGGGTAAAAGAGTATGGAGTTCAAACTAGCATTTGCTGAAAAGGAAGGATAATCGTACCTTGATAGTTAAACAAGGTTCAATCACGCATAAAAAGAACTACAAATTTACAATTGTGACGTCAAAATTAAAATATTAAAATTATAACTTCTTTATAAAAATACAAAAACTTTTTGTTGTTTAATAATTTAGTTTTATCTATAGAAAATATATAATTTTTATAATATTAATGGTAAGTTTATGATGTTAAGTAAAACAATTTAATATTTTTGACTGTACACAAATAGATTTATTTAATAATATAACATTAATTTTGGTTTATAAACAATCACTAGACTAGATTTCCTATACCTAAAAATAGTTTTTTTTATTTATATTTAGTAAATATTTAATTTTTACTTATAAAATCTGACTATATTTTATTCTAATTATAAATATTTGTATATAAAATTATTTAGATTACACTTATAGTAAGATTTAATATATAAATCAACTTCTTCAAGTACATTTGGCAGAAATTATATGTAAAAAATATTTAAAAGTAACATCTTTAAAAACAAAAACAAAAAAATTAAACAAAAACAAAAAAAAAATTAAACAAAAAGAAAAATAACTTTATTAAATAACTAATAAAAAAAAGAATAAATATAAATTCATTCATATAAACAATATTTGGTATTATAGCAAAACTATATATAAGTTTCCATGGCAACTGTTGTATTTGGTTTGGTTATTATTTAGTAATGTTTTGGTAATTTACATTAATATAATTTATTTTTTTAATGTAATAAATTAATACAAAAAAAAACAAAAATTAATTTGAATACTTTTACACTCATAAACAAAGTATGTAGACTAGATTAGGAACAACGTTTTTACAAATAAGTTATAAAACAAATACTTAAAAAGAAGTTTTTTTTTTAAATTAAATAATGTTATATATATGGCATATAAGCATTAATAATACAGAATTTAAAACCAACAATGCATATCATTACAAACTAAAATTAATTTCACAACGACCATTTTCCAAATTTTCAAAAAAAAATTAATAAAAATACTTTTATATATTATATATATGTTATATCTATAATAATATACACATATATATAATAATTACTTTAACAATTTTATAACTACACAGTTTTTTTGATTAAGTGTAGATATTTTACTTTTGTAAGCTTCTAAGTTGGCTATTTTAAAAACAGCTTTTGAATTTCTTGCATTGATCTCTTCCTCCTCTTCTTCCTCTTGCATGCTTTCTTCTGTATAATTTTGTCGGTCCACAAATAATTGTTCATTGTCATCATTAACATCTGCATTATAATCATCCAAAACAATATCAACAGTCATATCATCATCATCAATCTCCCGGTCCATATCGGACTAGCTACTACTACTTTGCATACCATTGACATTACCGGGGAAATGACAAATGCATGAAGGATTTGGAGTGTGTCCAGTATTAGAATCTAATTTTTTGGTCAAAGTTTTCCAATAATCAATTTGTGCATTCAATAAATCGATTTTACGTTTGCGTTCCTCAATCGCTAAAGACATGAGATAATCATTATTACGATTGTTGTTATGATTATTATTGCTATTACTGTTATGATTATTATTAGTGCTGCTATTATAGGAGTTATTGTTTAATATACTACTGCTATTGCCGTTATTTAATAGTGTATTTTTGGATGTCGTTCCAATATAATTATTGTTATTACTTAATCCAAGCAATAAATTACTGTTGCCATTGGTTAAGTTATGGTTACGTTGTAAAGTTGGCATTTGTGGCGGACTTTGTACGGCACTGAGGCCTAATCCATTGAGTAGCAAACGTTGCGCCGCTTGTTCACTGCTGGTCTGTGTGTTTACACTGTTATTATTGTTAGTGTTACTACTACTGTTTGTGCGGGTAATGCTTAATGAATTGCTGCCATTTTCCAACGCCTTCATATTGGCCATACTACCAATGCTGCCAACACGTATACCACCAACATTTTGTATTGTCACTTCGGGTTTCTGTTGTTGATTATTTTGAGATTGTGCATTGGACTGTGATTCGCGACGTATGTTATGCTGTTGTAATGTTTGTCTTAAGTCTGTTGCAAATATTTCATCGTCTTCTTCTTCTAAGCACACTTCTGGTATATCCTTTGTACTAAGACAGTCATCATCATCATCATCCATATCATGATTTAGGCCGCTTTGTGATTGCTCATTGTCGCTTATATCTTCAGATTTTATAACAATCACATCAGTGTCCATGCCTCCCAAGTTACCTGGAAACTAAACATAGAAAAATGATTAAAAAATTACAAAATACTAGTTTATATTTAATAGATGCTTAAAACTAAAAATATATTTAAATAATTATTATTATTGCGTTAAACATAACTTTAATTTTTTATGGACCCAAAGTAATACTATCCAAATTATCTACGCTTATACGTATTATAATATATTGTATTATTTATATTATATTATTGAAAAATAACATTCAATTCATTCAATATTCGAATAAAAATTCGAATATTTCTTAAGATCACTGATGATAAGTACTTGGTAATACACGAAACAGCTCTGCAAGGTCAGCCAAATTTCAATAAATTAATTAAATTTTTGTTGTTACTTCCACATTGCTGTTCGACCCTTCTATTTTGCAAACTATTTTTGATACGGACATTTTGTGAGTATATGTTTTTTTTAAGTAGAAAAGTGAGGTATACCGGAAATGTTACTTTGGATTTCTATATTTGATGAAGTATCAAATAAAAACTATTACTGATAATAAAACAATCCTTTTTATAAATAAATTGTGTTCTAGCAACCAGGGCTTTGAACTGGAATTGCACTGAAAACCACATAACCGATATAAGTGGTCAGAGTTAATATCAGAACCCAAAGGAAAAAATATATAGGTTTATTTTGATTTAGTTCCATGCAGTTTAGTTCCTGCTTAAAAATGTATTGATAAAATTTTAATAAAGGAAAATTTGCATTTAGGAATTAAAATTCTATCTAAAATGTATATTTCCAACGTTAAAGAAATAGTTTTATATTTGGTAAATATATAATTATTTTACAAACCATTTAATAGACTAAATTATATATAATGCATATAATAGTCGTATTATTAAAGAAATAGCTTACAAAAGTTAATAATATATATCAGATAAAAACTCAATATATAAACAACAATTATTGTTTAAAAAATTTTTATAAACTGAAAAATACACACCAAAAATGTTTTTGGCAAATTCGAGTATTATTCAAATCATTAATTTTATTTATTTTTTATTTAACTTTAAACACAGATTCTATTAAGGTTCCAATTTAAAGTAATAGGTATTTTCCCCAATTTTTGTTAACCTATATATATATATTATTACCTGCGTCTATAATAATAATACATCTGCATAACAATACACTTCTCATTCATGTATGTATATGTATAAATAGTGTAATTTATTAAATCTTTTGTTATATTTGAGTTTTGCTTTATTTATTATTAAATTTAAAAGAAAAAGTAAAACAAATTTTTAATTATTCTCTACATGTAACAATGTATATGCTTCCTTCCAGCTTAAAAGTTATATCCAAAATCATACTAATAAAAAAAATATCTGTATTTGTAAAATATAATATAAATACATTTAAAAACAAATTTGTAGAAGTGTGATGTATATGTATGCTTGAGATACAGTGCTGCGCAAAAGTTTAACACCACCTCAATAATTTTCAATACACTAATTTCAAAGTGAAATAATACGAAAGTTAGTAAGATGTATATTGAAGTCAAAGGATATAATTTTAGATGTTGAAGTGTTCTTAAATTTATGCGAAGTTATTATTTACTTTAAACGTTTTTAGATATAAGATAATTATTATTTTATTTTAATTTTGTGCAATTTATTTAGAAATTTATTTGAAAAATTTATTTTTATTATTTAAAAAATAAATTTGTTGACTCAAAATATTCTCGTACTTTGTCTTATTTCATTTCCAAATTTGTGTAATTAAAATTATTGAGCTGGTCATAAACTTTGGCGCAACACTGTATAGTATATACTCTATTGTTAGATATCAGTTTTGGATATCATTTACTTAAACCATGTGCCTATAACTTGTTGGGTCATAACACATTATTTTACAACATATCTGTACACATATATGTATCACTTGACCCTTTTTCTTTTCATCCACCTTAACTTTTACTTCAATTAAAGTTAAATACAATCGCTAAATAATCAAATTATACGCCTAAAACTATGTATTAAATATTTACTAAAACTGTCAGAATTCTTAATCAGTTGTGTTTATTGAACGCTTATTGGCCTGATTTCCAATGCACGATACGGTAAAAAGCTTATTTCATGGAAAAATATAACTCCACTTGTTGTTATCGCACATTTCAACGCTTACCTCTTAATCAATAAGAAGCCGAAACCCCCTTAACAAAGCTTAAATACATATGTTAACATTTAGGTGTGAATAATTTTATAAAAAAATAAAAAACAAAATTCGATTCAACATACCTTTGTGTCATCAAAATCGTCGTCAAATTTTTGCGGTCGGCTGTTGAAACCCTCGGGAGACATTTGTTCTGATATATATTGTGCGACAGACTCTTGTTGTGACAATGTATTTAATAGATCCATAAATGAGCGATTACCTTTACCCTCACCACATAAATCCTTCTTCAAAAGCAATTTCATATTCTTATATAATTGACGCAACTGCTTTGAGGAACGCTGGTGATAAACTCGTGCATTAAACTCTTTAGCAATTTGACGCCACACTTCATCTTTTTTACGATTCGACTCAGCATCGGTACGTTTATTCTCAATAACATCCTTGTACTGTGCAGCGAATCCTAATACCATATTGCGCTCCCGTTGCGTATAACGGGGAGTTTTCTCCATCTTCATTTCTTTTTTATGTGAAGTTTTAAAACTGCTTTAATCAAACCGAGAAAAAATTGAAAAGGAAAAAAATACTATAAATATTTTGATACTTTAGTTAAACAATTATAGAGAAAATATAACATGACCGATATGCAATAAGGCAAGCCTTATTTTTGACTAAATTCATTTTCAATCAGAGTATATGGGCTGGGCTAGTCTCTGAAGGCGATAATATGCGTTTGCTAGATTGTTAGTTAGGGTTTCGATAAAAGCCCGCTTTGCAACGGTGTTGGTGATTTCGTGTCTGAAATTTGTTTTATTTACGTTTACGTTTGTCGTCGTCGTCGTCACCATCGTCGCCGTCGTCGTAGCCGTTTTTAGTTTGTAAGCACAAAATTATTATTATTTTTTATTTTTTTAATTAATAAAAAGTTGACGAAAAACTCTTAACAATCATAATAAGCACAAACAAACCTAAATTCTACTACAAACAAAATAACGATGGTTAGTGATAACGATTTTTTATGTGATAAGCTTGTTAGAGCTTCACTTAGCTTTGCACTACTAACGCGTATTGATACCGTTGAGCAAACTGTGTAGCAGCTAGCTGAGTTCTAGAACGTCAGCATGATGGCATAAGTTTCAGCTTGAAAGACGGTAGTGCATTTTAAATCAGCAGAAATAGGGCGCCAAATGTTGATTATGTGGAGATTTAGTTCTTGACTTTGAAGACATACTTTGTGATATTAAACACAAAATTTTATTTTATTATTTTTTTTTAAGGAATATCACTGGTGTTAAGCAAATAACAATAAAAATGATGCTTTGTTTCAAAACGGTCAACAACAACGGTATTGCATCTGATTTGAATGGGTTATCTGTTCTTTTTTTATCTGGATTTCTTTTCCTCATCTCGTTATCAGAACAGTCTTGCTCTGTAATGTCAAAATTTGTGCCTAGTAGGAGTAAATATGTGTATATTTATTTGGTTGTGTATATTTGTGTAAAACTATGTTTACGGTATGAATATTAGCTATCGAACGTTAGTTCCCAAATGTCAAACGTTTATATTATCGTTTTGGGTTTACGTTTTGAGTCTATTTATATATCCGTCGTAACAGGTCGTATCATGTCAAACATGAGAAAACATTTTAACATTTTTATACCAAAAACTTATCGATAATGCATTATTTTTAGTGTTTTATTCAAGAAAAGTTATTAAATTAAGCTACTTTTATATACGAAAAAAAATATTTGGTAAATAGATGTAAGTCAAAGTCGATATTTTCCACTAAAGTTAGTAATGTAAGCATGGTTTTACCAAAAAAACTCAATAAAATAGTACAAAAGACATTAAATTGACAATTGTGATATGACTCTTTATATAATATGTCTTTTGTTCATAACCAAAAAAAGCGTAAAATTCCGTGACTATTTATCATATAAGTGTTCAGCATGAGTTTAAAGGTTACTATTTGGTAATTATTTTTGAGACTAAAGACGTTAATTCTATGTTTTGATTAATTACTTATTATTTAATCAATTACGTTCAACAATGGACGAAAAATAAATGACTGCTAAGCTAATAAGAATTTATTGATGTTGAAAAAAGCTACCAATTACCAAATATTGCCCTGAGAATATTTCCCAATTTAAGAACAGAGCGATCACAAGAAAATAAGGAATTTGATGCCAAAAATGTCCATTTGTATGGGTTTGGAAGATCATAATGATCGGCAGGTGATGCTTTGATTATGGCATCATCTGCCATGTCTACTGCAAAAATGTTATGGATATGTAAACGTGTATACACGTCATAATTAAACATATCAGAGTATGTATAAACTATCACAGTAACTCACGAAATATGCAACTATATCATTATCCATACAAAACTGCATGATTTACAACGTTTAAGGTTAACACAGTATCATATAATTAAAATAGAATAGCATCTCCAAAAATTTGTACAATCGGTTTCAATTTGAACATACTTTTCATACAAATCAACGAACAATTCTTAAATTTATCAACTTTTTCTAATGAATCCTTAAGTAACCTGTACATAATTTAAGATTAGAATAGGAAATTTCTCACAAAAGGTTAATAATAACATCCATTTCGCACGAAAAATTGACACAAAACTCCACGTAAAAAAATTTTCAATGTGTATAAACATATTTTTTATACGGAATTTTAATATCAATATTTCTTACGAAATGGATTTTATTACTAAGCAAAAAATCACAGTAAAAAAATTAGACTAGACTAAAATATATCTATGCTCTGTAATATTTGCTACTTTATAGACATGAGTAAAATTGAGGATTAAAATTAGTTTTTATAACAGTTTTTGTTGAAAAGATAATGAAACCAATAATGCAAAATACTTTTCTTCTAACATTTTTTGATATTTTTTATTTTACATAGAACAGAACGGTGAACAGTTAAAGTAAAAAGTCTATGCGTTATTTGTGTATAAGTAATTTTCAATCTGCAGAATTCATTAAGTGTAGCAAACATGAACAATTAAAACGCCAAAATTAATCCTCAAACATTAATCAAATGTGGCATGGTTCATTTAATTCAGTAAACAATTCTAAAACAGATAAACATTTTTTAATGAATTCTCAAAATGCCTGTGTATAATTTAAGATTAGTATTAAAAATTATTCACTAAAGAGTAGTATCAACTTGCATTTTGCACGAAAAATTGACATAAAACTTTAAATAAAAGAAATTTTAATTAGGGACTATGCTATATAGAGCACATCATGATCACATCACACATTTGAAAATGTTTTTAATTTAAGTAAGAAAATTGACGCTAAGAGAATGAGATAAACTTCGATTTAAATTTGTTCACTGTGATGAACCACGTCACCTTGGTCAAAACGGGGTTGTTCTGTAAAATGTTAGCAATATGTTTAACTTACTATTAGAGACATAAGCCAAGGACGACTTAGGTCTGTAATGGCCAACTAAGTAAGTAAGATTTAAAGACACAAAAGTCAATATCTTTTTAATTCACGCATGAAAAAACGTACCAAAATAGTAAAAAAAATGTCTTTTGATCATGATCTGTATATATATATATTTGTACCTGTCTATATAACCTGTCTACATGTTTAAAGTTCACTCTTCGTCAATTTTTTTTTTTTTGTTAACTGAAAACGTCTTCTTTGTTTGAATTAATTACATACTACTTAGCCACGACTGTCTATATAATATAGTCCTAGTACTGTTATGCAATTCTTATGAAAAATAGACACAAAACTCTATGCAAAAAATAATTTTCATTATGTCAACATTTTGTAGTAATTTTTTTTATATGGAGTTTTATGTAAATTCAATTATTATATTAATTTATTATACGAAAATTTTATTGAAATCTTTTTTTAAGAAATCTAATGCCAACTTTTCGTGCGAATTTGATACTGACATCAAATATAAAAAAACCTATAGTGAAGAATTCTGTACTCCATTATTTTCACTGTATTTTCTCAATATATTTTATAGAAAATTTTTCATGATATCTAATGCCAACTCTTCGTGCGAAATTGATGTTAGTGTTAGGTCTGATAAAAAAACCTATAGTGAAGAATCTATAGTCCATTTTTTTTTTCACTGTATTTTCTCAATATATTTTATAGAAATTTTTGTATAATGAAATCTAATGCCAACTCTTCGTGCGAATTTGATGTTAGTGCTAGGTCTAATAAAAAAAAAACTATAGTGAAAAATTCTATATTCCATTTTTTTCACTGTATATGTCACTTAATTGTTCAAATATATCATCAAATTCAAAATATCAACTAATCAATAAAGTGAAAAAATATGCTTTTATTTTATTCATATTAAAAAGGTTTTATGATATTTTTTAATTTACTTAAGAATATTTTTTCTTCCTTTAACTCAGTAGTTGAATACTTGGTGTATTTCTATGTATTGTTGTAGTTTGACACATAAACGTAATCAAGGTTACCATAAAATACATAAGAGAAGGCTTGAAACTGACTTAATTAAAATCGACTCTCTTGTATTAAATGAACAACACAACAATAAAAACCAATTTTGCTATGACATACATATGTTTTAAAATTAAAAAAAAAATAATTATTAATTGTTATATATATGATTTTTTTTTTATACCATAAACTCCAATTTTTCGTACTTTGAAATGATCAATTATTTAAGCGTCGTAAATTTTTTTCAAACTTAATTAACACATTTAAAAATTATTTGCTCTTTTTTTAAATATACGAACTTTTAAGTCTGAATGTCAACCGCCTATGTACTTTTACCTTAAAGCGGTGTCTATTGCACCTGAAGCGTGTTCCAATGAATTCTATATCTAATCTCAAATTAGAGATTAGAACATTAAAAAGTAAGTGTTTGAAAATTATACTACGAAATGTTTGGATTTACACTAATTTTCACTAATATATGCCCACGAAGCGAACTTTTCGAACACATTTATACAAAATACAAACTCACACACGCACATAATAAATATTAACTGATATAAGAACACGTACTGAAGAAGCGGCAACGCGTACGTCCAATGTAGCGTATGACAAATATTAAACTAAATCACATGAAATAGAACTTGAAACACATTTGAGTCAAAGAAAAATTGAGGAAGAACAAAAGCAGAACTTAAAAACGTTATTACACTTCAAGTCAAGATTGACAACAAATAAATTAAAAAGCAACAGAAACAGAAACAAAAAAAAAAAATAAACAAATTCATCGATTACAACAAAAACAGTTTCAACAGCAAATTATGAAATTGCAAGTGCACTTTATGTAAAACAAAAACAAAAACAAAAACAAAAGCAAAACCAACAACAGCACAGTAATAATAACAACAACAACTGAGAATAGATACAGAAAAGTAATGCCAAGCTTTAACGAAAAATTACGAAGTCAAAGACTGTCAAACACGACGTTAAATTAAACGAGCCATGAAGGGGTAGAAACATTAAAATAAAGAACGTTTCTTGTTTTAAGTTCCTCAAGCAGAAACCAATAAAATTATAAAACAAA